TACCTAGTTTACACTTTAAGATCACTAGACTGCAATGTGGAGAATGGAGTATAGAGATGCCAGCATAGAAGGGAAATAAACTAGGAAGGCAGTGGTAATAAAGAGAGATTGTGCTTCTCTATCAATGTAGAGCAAAAAACTCAAAGGATAAAGAGGGTACAGGAGAGAAAGGAATCAAGGAACAACATGGCACAGTACAAGATAACCTGAAAAATGCTCTGATTATTAAACACACAGAAACATTAGATAAGTAAGACATCATTTCAAAGGCATAACTTGCAAGAATGAAAAGAGAATGCTTCTGATAGTCTTCCAAACTTCACACTCAACCTGAAGAAGGAGCAGGAAACCAGAGTGGTAAGCAGAGCAGTGAAACCATGGTTGAGGCTACCTACTTATCTCAGAAATCTCTAGAGTTTTAACAGCTGCACAGGAAACTAAAGACAAGGACTTGGGCCTATACAAGAAATCAGGAGTGTGATCCTGCATAGGACTGGAAATTCAAAGTGCTATACTCTCCAAGAACAGATTGGGTGAAAAAAACCCTATACTAGCCCAGGGAGACATACAAAACATTTATTTACTTTGGTCTGCGGTGCGCGTGGAGGGAAAAAGAACATTTTCCCTTTAGAAATAAAAACCACAATTTTTCCCTTACTAAGTTTTAAAGTTCAAATTTGTCAAGAAAGTGGTCCCAGGCTAGAGAGTTGGGGGGCCTGGGAAGAAGCAAATACAAATCCTGACTGCACAGGTGTACCCTCAACCTGGTCTCAAAAGATTCCACAGATAAACAGGATTTCCAGAGACAAACATCAGCACCCAAAATACAATACACCTAAGGAAATAAGCTGCAATGAGTGAGTCAAGAGAAATTACAAATAACATAATGAAACCCATACGGACTTTAGCTACTGGAATTGATAGCTACAGAATATAAAATACACTTATTTAAATGATTAAAGAAAGACAGAAGCTAGGAAACATAAGCAGGAAATAAGCAGCTTTTTTTTTTTTTTTTTTTAGACAACCAAATAGCTTTGAAAATGAATTAAGTAGGCTGTGCACAGTGGCTCACGTCTGTCACACTTTGGGATGCCAAGGCGGACGGATCACCTGAGGTCAGGAGTTCAAGACCATCCTGGCCAACATGGTGAAACCCTATCTACTAAAAATGCAAAAATTCACCTGGCGTGGTAGTGAGCGCCTGTAGTCCCAGCTACTTGGGAGGCTGAGGCAGGAGAATTGCTTGAACCTGGGAGGTAAAGACTGCAGTGAGCCGAGATTGTGCCACTGCTCTCTAGCCTGGGTAACAAGAGCAAAACTTCATCTCAAAACAAACAAAAACAGAAAATGAATTAAGTAGAATTTCTAGAAATAAAGAATAATTGAAACCAAAGCCAACGTTTGGTTAAATAGCAGATTATACACAAGTGAAGAGAAAATTAGTAGCCGGAAGAGAGATCAAAAGAAATTACTGAGAACATAAAAAACAGGGATCTGGGAGAAAAAAAAAAAGAAAAGAAATTAGAGAAAAGCCTAGAGACAGGAAAAAAGAAAGCAAGCTTAAGAGACATGGGGATAGATTACTAAGGTCTACCATACTCCTAATGAAAATTCCAGGAGAGAAAAGAGAGAAACTGAGAGAGACAGATAATGATGAAATAATAGCTGAAAAATTTCCAGAATTGATTAAAGACAAGAATTTTCAGATTCAGAAAGCAAACTGAAGACCAAGCAGGATAAGTAAAAGAAATCTCAAACACATCAAAATGAAACTGCAGAATACCAGAGATAAAGCAACCAGAGAGGAAAGACATTCTACAAAAAGAAACAACTATTATATTCATAGCAGATTTCTTTTTTTTTTTTTTTTTTGAGACGGAGTTTTCGCTCTTGTTACCCAGGCTGGAGTGCAATGGCGCGATCTCGGCTCACCGCAACCTCCGCCTCCTGGGTTCAGGCAATTCTCCTGCCTCAGCCTCCTGAGTAGCTGGAATTACAGGCACACGCCACCATGCGCAGCGAATTTTTTGTATTTTTAGTAGAGACGGGGTTTCACCAAGTTGACCAGGATGGTCTCGATCTCTTGACCTCATGATCCAGCCGCCTCAGCCTCCCAAAGTGCTGGGATTACAGGCTTGAGCCACCACGCCTGGCATAGCAGATTTCTTAACAGCAAAATGGGTGCCAGTCAATAATGGTATATTTTCAAAGTACCAAGAGAAAATAACCAGGCTTAGAAGTGTACAACTACCAGCTGGGCACGGTGGCTCATGCCTGTAATACCAGCACTTTGGGAGGCTGAGGCGGGTGTATCACTTGAGGTCAGGAGTTCAAGACCAGCCTGGCCAACAATGTTCAAACCCTGTCTCTGCTAAAAATATAAAAATTAGCAGGTGTAGTAGTGTGCACCTTTAGTCCCAGCTACTTGGGAGGCTGAGGCAGGAGACTCACATGAACCTGGGAAGTGGAGGTTGCAGTGAGCAGGGATCATGCTACTGCACTCCAACCTGGAGTGAGACTCTATCTCAACAACAACAACAACAAAAGAAGTGTACAACTACCTAAATTATCCATCAGATGAGAGTGAAATAAGCAGATCATGAAACAGCTGTCAACAGAGACATACTAAAGGAACTCCTTAAAAGGTACATTTCAGGAGGAAAGTAATCTCAGAAGGAAGGTCTAAGATGCAAGAAGTCACACTGATAGCTAATACCTACCATTATATCACTGATTAGGACAATCCTGAAGAGCATACTTAATTCGTATTATTTCAGTGTCTCACAGCCTACCAAACTTTACATTCAACTACCTGCTAGTTGCACAGTTTGTAGGTGGACAACACAGGTAGGTGTTGGTCACTTCACCCCAATTTATCTCCAGATCATTATCAGTCAGTATTAATTATCAAATGTATAAATTATAAGTAGCTTTAAATGAATAGACTATCTGGCTATAACAATTCTTAAGCTCAATATATTTTGAAATTATTAAGCTGCAATATATCTTTCCAATTCTCAAACCATGTAATATCCTCCAAAATATCTAGGTAATTTTTTTTTTTTTTTTTTTTTTGAGACAGAGTTTCACTCTTGTTGCCCAGGCTAGAGTGCAATGGCAAGATCTTGGCTCACCACAACCTCCGCCTCTTGGGTTCAAGTGATTCTCCTGCCTCAGCCTCCCGAATAGCCGGGATTACAGGCATGTGCCACGGTGCCCAGCTAATTTTGTATTTTTAGAAGAGATGGAGTTTCTCCATGTTGGTCAGGCAGGTCTGGAACTCCTGACCTCAGGTGATCCATCCGCCTCAGCCTCCCAAAGTGCTGGGATTACAGACGTGAGCCACCGCGCCTGGTTTTGGTAGGCAGCTGAGATAGAGACACATATACACACACTATTCTGCTGCTCTGCTATCACCCTTAGTTGAGGTAACCAGTTTCTTTGTTCTCTGCATGCAAAAGAACCTAAAACAATAACTTAAGAAAAATAAACCATAAAAGTGGGACAAATATTGGAGCATAATGACCAAGAAAATGGTACCCATTCTCCTTCCCTTAAAAAAGACCATACACGAAATTTCAAAACGATTTTAAAATAAGCATTTGTTTATTGTTTAAGTATCCAAAGAAGATAATATAAAGACGTCAAAACCAGAAATGTTCTGTTACACTAAAAGTGATGTCATCTGCAACCATTTATCCAGGCAAGAAAAGTCGTATCAAAGCTTTCTTCATTCACATTTTTATTACACTTCTGAATATTTGTATAAGTGAGTAAATGGCTGAATCACATTCCAAGCCACAATCTTATTTTAAATACTGATGAAACCTGGCTGTGATGAGCAAAAATAAAAACATTCTATATACACATGCCTCATATATTCTTTTTTTTTTTAGACACAGTTTTTCTCTGTTGCCAGGCGGCAGGCTAGAGTGTAGTAGCACGATCTTGGCTCACTGCAACCTTGGCCTCCTGGGTTCAAGCAATTCTCCCACCTCAGGCTCCTGAGCAGCTGGGACTACAGATGTGCGCCACCACACCCAGCTAATTCTTTTATATTTTAGTAGAGACGGGGTTTCACTATGTTGGCCAGGATGGACTCGATCTCTTGACCTCGTCATCCGCCCGTCTCAGCCTCCCAAAGTGCTGGGATTACAGGAATGAGCCACCGCGCCTGGCCCATACTCTTAAGATGTTAAACAGTACCATGTTCCCCTACCTGTTTAACCATATGCCAAAATGTTGCCTGTCAATGTTAGTGAATTTTAACTGACATATAATTCCATTTCAGTGTCACATTATTAATCCCATAGTGAAAGAAATGTTTCTAAAACATGAAATTCTTTCTTATGAGAAAGCATGAAATAGGCATGAAACTCTACTGGGTTGAAATTTTAGTCATTTTAAAGGTCACTATTTCTGCCTGATGGCACTGGGTTGCCTTTTCCAATATTTAAGTCTCAAATACACCTTTAAAAAGAACTTTTATGACTAGTCAAGTCACATATGTCAAATTATACAAGCTGTGGTCCCATGAAAACACCAAAATGTTTCAGGAAATTGAGCAGCAATAGCATGTGTAAAGGTTTATCACATCTCAATACTCTATATAAAACAAATAATGCCAACATACCCTGGTTTGATGGCTTCTCTTCTGGAACACGCTTGCTCTAAAGTTTTATTTTATTTTATTTTTTTATTTTTTTGAGACAGAGTTTCGCTCTTGTTACCCAGGCTGGAGTGCAATGGCCCGATCTCGGCTCACCGCAACCTCCACCTCCTGGGCTCAGACAATTCTCCTGCCTCAGCCTCCTGAGTAGCTGGGATTACAGGCACGCGCCACCATGTCCCGCTAATTTTTTGTATTTTTAGTAGAGACGGGGTTTCACCATGTTGACCAGGATGGTCTCGATCTCTTGACCTCGTGATCCACCTGCCTCGGCCTCCCAAAGTGCTGGGATTACAGGCTTGTGCCACCGCGCCCAGCTAAAGTTTTATTTTTTAATTAGCCTATGGCACTTGCTTTATTTTCTATTTTTTTCCCAAGCATCACAGTAAATTAAGAACCTTTGTTTTAAAAAATTACTTGATGATTCCAATTATTGTTCATGTACAACTTTAAAATGGCAATCTGAGTTCTCTTCTTGACATACTGCGTACTAAATCTTAGTACTCAGTTTCATCAAGCCATTTGCCAATTCATATATTCAAAATAAACATTATAAAATGTAAAAGGAGAACGGAGTCAACAATTTAAGATTATCAATAATTTTGATATTAACATTAATAATTTCTTAGCTGTCCTACTTTAATGATTTTTGTTGAAACTGGCAAATGTCTTTAATATTCTCATGACATTAATATTTAAATAAACATGATTTTCAACCCAAGTGATTTTATTCTTTTTTTTTTTCCTTTGGAGATAGGGTCTCACTCTGTCGCCCAAACTGGAGTGCGGTAGTGCAGTCTTGGCTCTCTGGAACCTCTGCCTCCCAGGTGCAAGCGATTCTCCCACATCTCCCTCCCAACTGCTAGGACTAAAGGTACCCACCACCACGCCCAGCTAATTTTTGTGTTTTTAGTAGAGACGGGGTTTCACCAAGCTGATCTAGAACTCTAGTCCTCAGGTGATCCACCCACCTTGGCCTCCCAAAGTGCTGGGATTAAAGGTGTGAGCCACTGTGCCTGGCCTATTTTATTCTTATTTGTATGGTTTTCACAATTTGTAGCTTAAATGGAAAGTATTCACAAAATGAGAATAATTTGTCTCTACTACATAAAGAAATAATTTTTCTATCCCAAATGAAGATAAAGTCACTTCTCACAAAATAAATTATCAATTTAGCAGAATTAAGTTTCCTCTTACCACATTTGATGCTTGAGGATTACCAAGGATCTATGCAATAGAGCACTAAATTTTGGAATTAGCTGAGAATGATCCCAGATTTCCTCTAGTAAACATAATTTTGGCCACAAATGAAGACAAACGATAAAAGTTATTAGATCAATTCTAGAAGAACACCTCTCATCAGAATTTAATAGATCTTATTTAGGTTTCTAGGAAGCATTTAACTACACAAAACTTATAGGGAAAAATTGCCATATTTGAAAACTGTTACAAGGATCAAAGTGGAGCACAGGATTGTAACGAGCAGAGTCACAGAACATACTAAAGAGGTATGTATAGTCAGTCCCACTGGAACCTGCAGAGTCACATTCTTATATACCTATGGAGAGAGAGAAAAAAAAATAGATATTTAAAATGCATGTCATGGGCCAGGCATGGTGGCTCAAGCCTGTAATCCCAGCACTTTAGGAGGCCAACGCAGACAGATCACTTGAGGTCAGGAGTTTGAAACCAGCCTGGCCAACCATGTGAAACCCTGTCTCTACTAAAAATAAAAAACTTAGCCAGGTGTGATGGCAGGTGCCTGTAATGCCAGCTACTCGGAAGGCTAAGGCAGAAGAATCACTTGAACCTAGGAGGTGGAGGTTTGCAGTGAGCTGAGATCATGCTGCACTCCAACCTGGGCGACAGAGCAAGACTCCGTCTCAATCAATCAATCAATCAATCAAATGCATGTCATAAGGTGAGACCAATATTTCTTTGATTTTTCATTGGATCTTTTTCTTTCTTTTAAATATCTCAGCCAGTACTACACGACATGTAATATTACTGGTTTGAATGACTTTTGAATCTAACATATCATTTAATGTTACAGAATCAGACTCAATTCCCACAATAATTTGTTAAATCTCATTAGTTCTGATTTTTCTGCTTTTTACAGAGTTAAGTATATTCTTTTAAGAAAAGCTATATATGCCAGGCATGGTGGCTGATGCCTGTAATTTCAGCACTTTGGGAGACCGAGGCAGGTGTATCACAAGATCAGGAGTTTGAGACCAGCCTGGCCAACATAGTGAAACCCCATCTCTATTAAAAATACAAAAATTAGCTGGATGTGCTAGTGTGAGCCTATAATCCCAGAGTTGAGGCAGGAGAATTGCTTGAACCCAGAAGCCGGAGGTTGCAGTGAGCCGAGATTGTACCACTGTGCGCCAGCCTGGGTGACAGAGTGAGACACTGTCTCAAAAAAAAAAAAAAAAAAAAAAGAAAGAAAGAAAAAGAGAAGCTATATCCCAGTGTCACCTCTGGAATCAATATAAACATTTACTTCCTCTTACCATGCTTCAAATTAGAACACTAGAACACAGAATTCTCTCTAAATTTGAATACTTATAGGAAAAACATTAAAACAACAAAAAACTAAATTATCTTTTCATTCATGTTTGCCTTTCTCTCCCCAGATAGCTTTTAAAACATTGTTATTCACATATTGTACAACTGAATGTGATCTTTCCCATGACCGGCAATGCAAAGCTCCTATATTCGACTCAGTTTCTATTTTCTTTTTTTTTTTTTTTGAGATGGAGTTTCACTCTTGTTACCCAAGCTAGAGTGCAATGGCACGATCTCGGCTCACCGCAACCTCCGCCTCCTGAGTTCAGGCAATTCTCCTGCCTCAGCCTCCAGAGTAGCTGGGATTATGGGCACGTGCCACCATGCCCAGCTAATTTTTTGTATTTTTAGTAGAGATGGGGTTTCACCATATTGACCGGGATGGTCTCGATCTCTTGACCTCGTGATCCACTCACCTCGACCTCCCAAAGTGCTGGGATTACAGGCTTGAGCCACCACGCCCGGCCAGTTTCTATTTTCTATTTGGTTTTAAAGATAAAGGGGTTCAATTAAAAATACTGGGACAGTTTATACCTTAAAAATAAGTTTTAAAAAACATTAAAATGTAAGTAACTTGGCAATACTTTTTGTTTTCTTTCTGTAAATACCTGAATTATGATTTCACAACCTAAAAAATAAAAGTTACCAACCCAATCAGTAACAAAGTGCTATCCGAAAAACATCATTCAAAAAATGCCACCTTCAACAAACCTTGGGACGGAATACCACCTTAGTAATGGTCATCTATTTTTCTGGTATATATAAAGATGAAATATACATAAAGTTGGCCAGGTGTGGAGAGGCACGCCTGCAATCCCAGCACTGTGGGAGGCTGAGGTGGGCGGATCGCGAGGTCAGGAGTTCAAGACCAGCCTGGCCAACACAGTGAAACCCTGTCTCTATTAAAAATACAAAAATCAGCCATGCCTGAGGTCCCAGCTACTTGAGAGGCTGAGGCTTGAGCCCGGGAGGCAGAGGTTGTGGTGGTAAGCCAAGACTGCAACACTGCACTCCAGCCTGGACAACAGAGCAAGGCTCCATATTAAAACAAACAAACAAACAAACTATATTTAAAGTGTTCAACTATGATCTTTTATGGCAAGTTACAGAGTTTTAAAGACAACTGACGTCAGGCGTGGTGGCTCATGTCTGTAATCCCAGCACTGTGGGAGACTGAGGCAGGTAGACCACGTGAGGTCCAGAGTTTGAGACCAGCTAACCAACAAGGTGAAATCCCATTTCTACTAAAAATACAAAACTCAGCTGAGCGTGGTGGCAGGTGCCTGTAGTCCCAGCTACTCGGGAAGCTGAGACAGGAGAATTGCTTGAACCGGGGAAGCAGAGGTTACAGTGAGCTGAGATCATGCTACTGCACTCCAGCCTGGGAGATGGAATAAGACTCTGTCTCAAATAAATAAATAAATAAATAAAAAGACAATGGAATTCAAAGTGTTTTAATAAGGTCTCTACTTATCTTGCAGCAATGCACACCAAGAATTTGCTAAATCAATAAATCATAAATACTAAGCATACCCTTCATTGACATAAACAATCACATGCAGGTCTCCAGATGTATTTCAGAGTTTGAGAAAAATTTTCAGGTACCATATGGCAAATAGCAACCTACTCAAAAACAATTCTACATTGCATAAGATTGCATGGTCAACCATCTTCCCAACTGTCTGTTCACAGAAAGTTGCCTAACAAAAAAATAGCAGTGCTTTGTAGTAAACCTTTGCTGTAAGAACAAATCGCTTTTTATGTTAGAAAATGCTAATCCCAGCCAGGTGCGGTGGCTCACTACTGTAATCCCAGCACTTTGAGAGGCTGAGGTGTGCGGATCACCTGAGGTCAGGAGTTCGAGACCAGCCTGGCCAACAGGGTGAAACCCTTTCTCTACCAAAAATACAAAAATTAGCCAGGTATGGTGGTGGGTGCCTGTAATCCCAGCTACTTGGGAGGCTGAGGCAGGAGAATCACTTGAACTTGATAGGTGGAGGTTGCAGTGAGCCGAGATTGTGCCATTGCACTCCAGCTTGGGCAACAAGAGCAAGACACCGGCTCAAAAAAAAAAAAAAAAAGAAAAGAAAAGAAAAGAAAATGTTAATCCTTTAAATGTGGCAGAAACATTATAGAAAGATGTTTAAATGAGGCAGCATAATCTAAAAAGCAACATAAAATATGAGCTTACTGATTTATACTTCATCTTGTTCCACTGGCAGATATCTTCATTCTCCAAAGCACAAGGAGCTGCCACTTCTGAGTGGGCCCAGCATTTCAAAATCGGGAACTCTGAGGGAAGTGGTAGAAAATGATGTCAGACAGGAGGCTGAGGCAGGAGAATTGCCTGAACCCAGGAGGCAGATGTTGCGGTGAGCCAAGATATTGCACTCCGGCCTGGGTAACAAGAGCGAAACTCAGTCTCAAAAAAAAAAATGATGTCAGAAAACCTTTATTTGGACTCAAAGCTAGGCTTGTATTAAACCTCAACAGATAGAACTACTTCTATCGTATATGTATACGATTTGGACCCATCTATCACATACTGTTATTTTAGCATCCTTTTTATGTGAAAGCCTAAGAAATTAGAAAATTACAAAAGTACTGCAGAAGTTGAATGTGACTTCTTTTTTTTTTTTGAGATTTTTATGTGTGCTTTATTTTACAATCAAAAAGTTAAAAGAAAAAGAAACATGCTTTTGCCATCCCTGTCCCTGACTGCGACTTGCCACCATGCTTTTATTCTTATTTTTCAACTCTCAGAAAACACTTGCAACCCTTACCTTGTTCACAATACATCAACAAATCTGGGTTACTGACCACAGTAAAGGTTTCTCCATCTTTACTATGTGGCCGATGATAGCGGTAGTGCACAGGCAAAAAGGCTTGAAAACAATCAGTGCACTGTGAGTCTTGTCTGGCATAAATGAGAACTTCAGATTCCTTGGACAAATAGTTAGGGGCCTCTATATCAAAATTTTCCGAAATCATCATTGCCTGTTCAAAAAGAAAATAAATATTAATCAAGAAGAAATGAATGAGGAAGAGTTTTTAAAAAGTTAAAACCAGGAGACTGCTATACAGATAAACAGCAGTGTCAAATTTGCCTTCTTTATAAACAATTTCATTCCCCTTCCAGCCTCAATTTTAAGGAGAAAAACACAAGATCGTTTATGTTTAATAAAAGTTTGCTTACTAAAAGTAAACTGGGGAAATTTTATTCTAGGGTACCAAATTTCTCCATAATAAAAAATTATTTCTGGCCAGCTGCGGTGGCTCACGCCTGTAATCCCAGCATTTTGGGAGGCTGAAGCGGGCAGATCACGAGATCAGGAGTTCTAGACCCGCCTGGCAAACATGGTGAAACCCTGTCTCTACTAAAAATACAAAATTGGCAGGGCGCGGTGGCTCAAGCCTGTAATCCCAGCACTTTGGGAGGCCGAGGTGGGTGGATCACAAGGTCGAGAGATGGAGACCAACCTGGTCAACATGGTGAAACCCCGTCTCTACTAAAAATACAAAAAAAAAAAAAATTAGCTGGGCACGGTGGCGCGTGCCTGTAATCCCAGCTACTCAGGAGGCTGAGGCAGGAGAATTGCCTGAACCCAGGAGGCGGAGGTTGCGGTGAGCCGAGATCGCGCCATTGCACTCCAGCCTGGGTAACAAGAGCGAAACTCCGTCTCAAAAAAAAAAAATAAATAAATAAATAAATAAAATACAAAAATTAGCTGGGCGTGGTGGCACATGCCTGTAATCTCAGCTACTCAGGAGGCTGAGGCAGGAGAATCACTTGAACCTGGGAGGTGGAGGTTGCAGTGAGCCGAGATCACGGCACTGCACTCCAGCCTGGGCAACAGAGCAAGACTCCATCTCAAAAAATAAAAATAAAAAAATTTAAAAACATTTCTGTTTTTAAATAATAAGATATTTTCTTATTAGTCTTTGTTTAGGTAGACAAAATAGGTGCCTATGAACAAAGAAATTTTGTGACTATAGCATTATTCAGTAACTACAAAAACTAGGACAAAGAGTTAAACCTGTATTGAGTTAAAATGATTGGTATCATTCTGATAATTTCCTGTTCTTCAGAGAAGCAAGCGAGATGGCAATGAGTAAGAGCACTGTGGTCAGGAAGTCAAAGCAAAGGTCAGCACTCTTTCTAGAGAGGGTATAAAAAGTTAGTGGAAAAAGCAGTAAATGATTTTTTAAAATAATATGGTAAAAACTATTTTAAATAAAAGTATAGTATTCTACATCAACAGAGAAAATGTCAATGTGACAGAAATTAGGCCTGAGTTATAATGTGTATTTATTATGCATATATATCCACATATACATACATATTCATGTATACACACATGTATATGCACACACACGTATAGGCATTATATACATAATCTATGTGCATATGTATGGATGTACACACATGCAACTTGTCCATGCATACCCCTGGTATAACTCATAGAAACAAACAGCATTAACTCCTTCCCATCACATCAAGCATCCTAACTTTCCTGTGACAGTGACACCAAGTGCTACATTTTCATTACATGTTGTTCCTTTTCAGTTAATCACAGCAGTTACAGAACTCATTGGCAAAAGCCAAGGAATTATATAATCAAGACCTTAGAAGTAGTCAAATTAAACCACTGTCCCAATGAAGGCATTTTTCAGGTATACAGCCTAAATTAATTTCTCTCCACAAAAAATCTCCTAATAACTGTACCTCTGTTATGTTTCTCTCTCGTAATGAAGCCAACTCATATGGATCCACAAAAAGTCCTGTAGGAATGTACTGTTTAATTAAGAGTCGGCATCTCTGTAAGTCCTCAATGCCTTCTCCAAACTTCACTTTTATTAAAAGGTCTCTGTAAGACAAGTGCATTTAAAGTAAATCTCTTCATTCAATTGTTAAATGAGGTAACATAATACTATGTTCCTATTAGTGAAAACATTGTATTTCAAATTCATTTTCCAAAAGCAGATTATAAGGTCAAATGAAATATGTATAACATGTCAGAATCATCCATTAGATCTTTCATAATTTATGTCGTAAGCCACTATAGCATTACCGTAAAAATAGACAAAGACCAATGGAAAGGAATGGAATCCAGTAACACTCACACAATTTTCAATAAAGGTACCAATGCTATTTAATGGGGGAAAAGATAGTCTTTTCAATAAATGGGACTGATACAACTAGATATTTACCTAGAAAAAAATAGACCAGAGGGTGGGCACAGTGGCTCACGCCTATAATCCTAGCACTTTGGGAGGCCAAGGTGGCTGATTGCCTGAGCTCAGGAGCTTGAGACCAGCCTGGGTAACATGGCAAGATGCCATCTCTACCAAAAATACAAAAATTAGCCAGGCATGGTGGCACATGCCTGTGGTCCAGCTACTCAGGAGGCTGAGGCAGGAGAACTGCTTGAGCCAGGAGGCGAAGGTTGCGGTAAGCCAAGATCATGCCTTTGTACTACAGCCTGAGTGACAGAGCAAAACCCCGTCTTAAAAAAAAAAAAAGGCTGGGAATGGTGGCTCATGCCTGTAATCCCAGTACTTTGGGAGTCCAGTGCAAGATTCGTTTGAAGCCAGGAGTCTGAGACCAGCCTAAGCAACATGGAGACTCCTGTCTCTATAAAAAATAAAACAATTAGTCAGGTGTGGTGATGTATGCCCATAGTCCCAACTACAAGGGAGGGTGTAGTAGGAGAATCTTTTGAGCCTGGGAGGTTGAGGCTGCAGTGAGCTCTGAAAGTGCCACTATATTCCAGCTTGGGAGACAGAGACAAGATCCTGTCTCAAGAAAAAAGAGAGAGAGAGAGAAAAGATGTTTTTTTAAAAACTTAATCCAACTTTAAGAGATGGAGAATATAATTTCTGAAATAAAAGCTTACCCAAATGTAATTAAAAGTCATTAGATGTTAAAGAAGAAAAGATCAGTGACTTGTGGACAGAGGAACAGAAACTATCTACTGAAGCACAGAGAGGAAAAAAGACCAGGAAGAAAAAAAGGAACAGCTTCCATGGCTTTTAAACAATATCAACTAGTCTAGTATACCTATAATTGGAGTTCCTAAATAAGAAGAGAGAATGTAACAGAAAAAAAAAAAGAGATATAATGGCTGAAACTTTCTGAATTTCATAAAAATTATATATCTATGAATCCAAGCAGCTCAACCAACCCCAAGCAGGATAAATACAAAGAAAATCACATCAAGGCACATTATTATCCAGTCAATGGGAAAAAAAAAATCTTAAAAACTATCAAAAATTATGTAAAGTGTAACAAAGATAAGAATAAGCTAGAAGATAATGGAGCAACCTATTTAAAGTACTAAAAGAAAAGAAGCTGTCAATCTAGAATTTTATATACAGGAGGAAAACCCTTCAAAAATAAAGGCAACATAAAAATTCACACAAATACAAACTAAGAGAATTTGACATCGCAAGAAGTGACAGAAAGTAAATGATACTAGATAGAAACATAAATCTGTAAGAAAGAAGAGGTCAGAAATGGTAAATATGTGGGAGAATATGAAATACTTCTCTCATGTTTTAATTGCTTTCAAATATGATTGATAGACAATTGGAACCCTTGTGCATTGTTGGTGGGACTGTAAAATGATGTGGTCATTATGGAAAACTGTATGACAATTTTTCAAAAAAGTAAAATAGAATTATCACATGATCCAGCAATTCCACTTCTGGGTATTTCATTTCCCCAAAGGAAATGAAAGCAGGCATTTAAGAGACAATTGTAAATCCTGTTCACAGCAGCATTATTTGCAACAGCCAAAAGGCAGGGGCAACCAAAGTGCCCACCAACAATGAATGGGTAAGCAAGATGTGGTATAAACATACAACGGAATATTACTCAGCTTTAAAAAGAAGGGAAATTCTGACATACCCTAAAACATGCATGAACTGTGAGAACCTTATGCTAAGTGAAATAAGCTAGTCACAAGTATTATATGATTCCATTTACATGAAGTACCTAGAGGAGTCAAATTCACAGAGGCAGAAAGTAGAATGGTGGTTGCCAGGAGCTGGGAGAAGGGGGAATGAGTAGTTATTGCTTAATAGGCAAAGAGTTTCAATTTTACAAAATGAAGAGTTCTGTAAATGAATAGTGGTGATGGTAGCACAATAACGTGAATGTACTTGATGCCACTGAATTATACTCTTAAAAATAGTTAAAATTGCAGTTAGCCGGGTGCAGTGGCTCATGCCTGTAATCTCAGACCTTTGGGAGGCCAAGGCCAGTGGATCACAAGGTCAGGAGTTTGAGACCAACCTGACCAACATGGTGAAACCCCATCTCTGCTAAAAACACAAAAAATTAGCCCAACATGGTGGTGCATGCCTATAATCCCAGCTACTCAGGAGGCTGAGGGAGGAGAATTGCTTGAACCCAGGAGATGGAGGTTGCAGTAAGTTGAGAAGGAGCCACTACATGCCAGCCTGGGCATCAGATGACATTCCATCTCAAAAAAAAAAAAAAAAAAATTAAAATTGTAAATTTTATGTTATGGGTATTTTATCACAATTAAAATAAATAATGTAAAAAGTGATTACTTAAAGAAAAACCAATAACAATATATTGTGGGGTTCATAACACAAGTGAAAAATGAAGTAAAATATGTAATTACAATAGCATAGGGAAAAGAAGGAAATGAAACCATTCTGATAGAACAGTATCTATGACATGGAATAAAATTATTTGAAGGTAGACTGTGATAGGTAACAATTGCACATTGTAAACCCTAAAGCAACAAATTAAAAACAGAGAGAAGTACAGCTAATAAGCCAAAAATTGAGATAAAATAGAATGCTTAAAAATCACTCAATACATCCAAAATAAGGCAAAAAAAAAAAAAAAAAAGGAAAACACCAGATGGAACAAATAGAAAAAAAGTAGCAAAATAGATTTAAACCAAACCAACCATATTAATATTTACATGAAAAATAAATGGTCTAATCACTCCAATTAGAATGCAGAGACTGACAGATGGACAAAAGAGCAACTCCTTTCACAGGCTCTTGGGATTTGTAAAGAAAAAAAAGGCCATCCTTAACTATATGCTATCATACGCTATCAACAGGAAACACACTGAAGGTAAAGACAGAAAGTTTAAAGGATAGAAAAGATATGCAAATATTAATAATAAATATGGGATGGCTATATTAATATTAGAGTAAGGAGACTCCAGGACAAGGAATATGGCCAGTCATAAAGAAAGACATTATATAAAGATAAAAGGGCCAACTCATCAAGGAACATATCAAGAACATCAAGAACAATCCTAAATGTAGCATACACACCCAAAAACAGAGCTTCAAAATAGTCATCGTTAAATTCTATTAAATATTAAAGGAAGAAATAATAACAGTGCTACACCAGCAGAAAATAGAGAAGGACGTATTTCCCAACCTATTTTATAAGGCCAATAATGCCACTGACAGCGAAACCAGAATAAGACATCACAACACAGTAACGGACCAATAGCCTTCATGATCATACAAGTAAAAATACTTAGCAAGTTATTAGCAAAACAAATACAGACATATTTCAAGAAGATAATATTGCATGACCAAGGGGTAGGTTTACTATTGGAAACACCAGTGTACTTCATCATATTAAAAGAATATAGTATGAAAATTGTATGATCCTCTCAAAACAGAGGAAGAAAAAGTATCTAACTAAATTAATACCTAATCATAAAAAAAAAATCTCAGGAAACTAGAAATTAAGAGAAAGTCCTCAACTGATAAAAGCTATCTACAAAAAACCTAACACAAATATACTTCATGGTGAAATACCTATATACCCTTACCTTTTTTTTTTTTTCTTTTTTGAGACAGTCATGCTCTGTTTCCCAGGTTGGAGTGCAGTGGCGCGATCTTGGCTCACCGACACCTCAGCCTCCCGGGTTCATGGGATTCTCCTGTCCCAGTCTTCCAAGTAGCTGGGATTACAGGCATCCTGCCACCACATCCAGCTAATTTTTTGTATTTTTAGTAGAGATGGGGTTTCAACATGTTGGCTAGGCTGATGTCAAACTGCTGACACTCAGGTGATCTGCCTGCCTCGGCCTCCCAAAGTTCTGGGATTACAGGCATGAGCCACAGTGCCCAGCCAAGTAATTACTTTTAATGGCAAAAACCTGCAATTATTTTTGCACCAGCCTAATACATGATTAAGATGGGGGGGGGACAACTAAATAAATGAAGATGCCATATTCATGGATTAAAACATTCATTAATTAATGTTAACACATCAGTTATCTCCAAGTTGATCTAGTGTTTCAACAATCTCAATCAAAATTTCATGAAGCTTTTTTTGAAGCAATCATTAAACTGATAAAAAAATTTATATGGAAATACAAAAGATCTAGAATAACCAGAACAACTTTTTGGGGAAAAAAAAAAGTTGGTGGATTCATACTTTCTGATGGTCAAGATAGTTATCAAGATGGTCATATAGATCAGGAGTTGGAAAACTTTTTCTGACAGTAAATAATTTAGGCTTTGCTAGCCACATATAGTCTCTGTTGCATTTTTCTTTGCTTTGGTTTTCTTTTTTGAGAAAGGGTCTCACTCTGTTGCCCAAGCTGTCATGCAGTGGCATAATCTTGGCTCACTGGAACCTCAATCTCCTGGACTCAAATGATCTGCTCACTTCAGCCTCCCAAGTAGCTAAGACTACAGCTGCATGTCACCATGTCTGGCTAATTTTTGTATTTTTTTTTTTTTGGTAGAAATAGGGTTTCACCATGTCACCCAAGCTGGTCTCATACTCCTGGACTCAAGGGACCTGCCCACCTCAACCTCCCAAAGTGCTGGGATTACAGATGTGCACCACCATACCTGGCCCACTTTTGTTTTTTAATCTTTAAAAATGTAAAAAATGTAGTTGGGCATGATACTATGCACCTGTTGTCCCAGCTACTGAGGAGGCTGAGGCAGGAGGATCACTTGGGCCCAGGAGGTCTACCCTGCAGTGAGCAATTATTGTGCCACTGCATTCCAGCCTGGGTAAGAGTGGGACCCTGTCTAAGAAAATGAAATGGCAAGCCATAAAGAGGGAGAAAATATTCTCAATGCATACATCTGCCAAAGGACTTATATCAAAAATACATATATGAAGAATTCTTACAACTTAATAAGATAATAAACAACCCAACTTAAAAATAGGTGTTTTCATTTAAGCAAACACTTCCCAAAGGAAGATATACAATAAGCATGGTGGAAAGATGACATTATTAGTCATCAAAGAAATGCAAATTAAAACTACAATGAAATGCCACTACACAGCCACCAGAATGTCTAAGACTAATCATATCCAGTGTTGCCGAAGAAATGGGAGAAAGAGAATTCTTACACGCTGCTGGTGAAATGTAAAATGGTATAACCACTTTGGAAAACAGTTTGACAGTTTCTTAAAAGGTTCAACATATATCTACCACATACTCAGAATTCCACTTATCAATATCTACACAAGAGAAATGGAAACATGGCCACACAAAGACATGTACACAAATGTTCACGGCAGCTTGCTTTATAATAACAGCCCCAAACTGGAAACTACTCCCATGCCATTGATATGTGAATGGATCAACACATTTCAGCACGTAGCAACAAAAAAGAAAAAATAACTTCTATACAGAACATGTATGAATCTCACTGACATAACACTGAGTGAAAGAAGCTAGATATAAAAAAGCATATGCTGTGTGATTTCATTTATATAAAAGTCTAGAAAACCTATACAGTGACAGAAAACAGACAAGTGGTTGGCTGTGAGTGGGTATGTGGGGAAGAATAATTGGAAGCAGCACACAGGTGTTTTTTAGGATAGAAATGTTCTATATTTTGATTCTGGTCTGGTTGTGGTTACATGAGTGTATACATGTGTTAAACCTCAATGAAGTTGATTTTTTTAAACCATGAAATAATTCTATTAAAATTCCTTGGAATTATATAACCAAGGCACTGAGAGGCTAAGTATCCTATCTAGCCAAGATTCGAATGATCATAGTTTTACTCTAAGGCCCACATCATTAGCCATATAGATATATTTTCTATAAAAGCAGAATATATCTGTAATCTATTTTCTCCTGGACACTATATACGTATTTATGAACAGGTAATACTTTTATAATCAGAAAAAGCATATGTATTTTAAAAAGACAGAAACCCTTCAGGACCTCCCTCCAAGATCACATTCAATCCATTAATCAGAAGATGTTGGATATATTTGTGAATCTTTATGGAGTCATTCACCTCCATTGTCTTCCAATACACATTTCTTCATCTTGTTCACAAATGTAAGACGTAAAACTTGGTCAAAAGTCTTCCAGAAAATCTGTATATAGAGATACTATAATTATAGCATTTCCCTGATCTACCTATCAAGTAACTCTGTAAAGAAAATATTTGTAATACATTTATGCAAATTCTCAAAGATCACCACTTCTTATTTATTTATTTTTCATGAAAAAGAGGTTTTTCATTTTACCAAAAATTGCACCAAGGTAAAACTAAGCTCCAGTTGATGCATACATGTTGTGTAGGCATTAGCAGTATTGCCCTCACTACATACTCACTGGACTGCAGCACAACCCCAAGAAAAGCACAGTTACACCACCTCTTCCGTGATCACAAACCATCCTTTTAATAATGTGGTCTAGGCTGCGCGCAGTGGTTCACGCCTGTAATCCCAGCACTTGGGAGGTCAAGGTGGGAGGATCACTTGAGGTCAGGAGTTCGAGACCAGCCTGACCAACATGGTGAAACCCCATCTCTACTAAAAATACAATAATTAGCTGGGCTTGGTGGTACACACCTGTAAAGCTACTTGGGAGGCTGAGGCAGGAGAATCACTTGAACCTGGAAAGTGGAGGTTGCAGTGAGCCAAGATCACGCCACTGCACTCCAGCCTGGACGTGACTGAGCAAGACTCGATCTCAAAAAAAAAAATTTTTTTTTTCATATAATGGTACTAAATTTGAGTCAGAGCTCTATCATTCTAATTGCTACCAAATTATTTAAATTCTTTGAGCTCTACCTCCTTCATCTGAAAAATAAGAAAAAATCACCTATCTCAGGCCATCACGAAGATTAAGTGGAATACTATATATAGGCACTGGTTGTATATATAAAAATATACTATATATGAGAAGGTGTGTGTAGGTTCTATACTAATACTATGCCATTTGATACAGAGGACTTGAGCATCTGAGGCTTTTGGTATCCTCAGGGGAAGTCCAGGAGGAACCAATCCCCCTCAGATACCAAGGGACAATTGTACATGATAAATATATATTTGTTTTCTTTTTTGCTCTACTCAGTTATTTTAATCACTATTTCAAAGAGTGAACCACATACGCCATCACTAAATAACTTTGAGAAAGCAAGTGATTTTTCTTTTCTTTCTTTTTTTTTTTTTGAGACAAAGTCTTGCTCTGTTGCCCAAGCTGGAGTGCAGTGGTGTGATCTCTGCTCACCACAGCCTCCACCTCCAGGGTTCAAGCGATTCTCCTGCCTCAGCCTCCCAAGTTGCAGGGACTATAGGCACACACCACTATGCCCAGATAATTTTTTCATGTTTAGTAGAGATGGGGTTTCACTACATTGGCCAGGCTTGTCTTGAACTCCTGACCTCATGATCTGCCCACCTTGGACTCCCAAAGTGCTAGGCTTACAGGCATGAGCCACTGCACCCAGCCTGATTTTTCAGTTTATACATATTTCAACTATCAACTTTTTGTACACAATTATATGAGACATTATTTTAATAGGAATAGAAATAACGGGCTACTTACCTGTGGAAACCATCTTTCAAAACTTCTTGTCTCAAAGTAATTTCAGAACACGTGGCCCTTATGCCTATAAGAATCAAAGATATTTTTTTAAAAACAAAAGCACTCAATAAAAGAATATTTAAATAATTAGAAAATAGTTATTTTAGTAGGCTTTACTTGCCCAGAAAATCTATCCAACCTAAAAACAAAAACTTTCAAAATTTAAGCAATTTGAGATATATATAAATCTACTTCTAATATAGCACAGTGGTTAAGAACAATGACTCTGGAGTTAGAGTGCCTAATTTCAAATCCCAGTCTGTAACTTAACAGCTGTGTCAACTTTGGGCAAGATAGTTTATCTCTCTATTCACCCTCATGAGAATTTAATATGTGTAGAAGCACTTGGAACAGACCCTACCGACCGCATAGTAAGCATTCTATGTGTTTGTTATTAACATTGCTTTATTCAGGTGATCCCAATATAACAAAAAGGAACAGGATGGCTAAACAGCCAGGAAATCTCCATTTTAATCCTAGTTCACAGAAACTGTGTATTAGATACATAATGGCAATTTCTATATTCTAACATCCATGCCTATAAAACCAGGAAGATGATACATTTATGCCTTGTGGAGATGTTGGAAGGTTTAAGAAAAAAAGAAAAAAAGCAAAGCTGGAGGCACTCAAAGGTTCAATGGGTTCCATTGTAAACTTAGAATAACCAGAAATCTCAGCATACTGACTTCACTGAGAATCCAGACATTAAAGCTATTACTCAGAGCCAGGTGTGCTAGTTCACACCTGAGGTGGGAATATTGCTTGAACCCAGGGGATGGATGCTGCAGTGAGCTATGGTTGCACCACTGCACTCAAGCCTGGGTGACAGAGAGAGAGATCTCGTCTCTAAAGACAAAAAAAAAAAAAAAAAAAAACTACTACTCAATGTAAGCATCTTAAAACTAAAAATTAAGTTACTACTGGCAAGCAACTCTACCAGGCATTTGCTATGGAACTTTGTCCCCTTTCAAAAGCTGTAAATCTGTGGGAAGAACATTAAAAAAACACACAAGCCTGGACAACATAGCAAAACTCCATCTCCACGAAGAAAAATACAAAAATTAGCTACTGAGGAGACTAGGTGAGAGGATGGCTTAGGCCAGGTGGTGGAGGGAGGCTGCAGTCAGCCAATATTGCACCACTATACTGCAGCCTGGGTGACAAAGCCAGATCTTGTCTCAAAAACTAACAAACACACACACACACATACACACACACACACACACACACACACACACACACACAGAAAACTATATATTATTTACATAATCCTATTATTATCATTGAATATTGCTGAATCCATCAGATGTGCTTCTGAAAAGATGCATTAAGAAAAATGATGTGGGACCGGGCACAGTGGCTCACACCTGTAATCCCAGCACTTTGGGAGGCTGAGGCCGGCGGATATCGAGGTCAGGAGTTCGAGACCAGCCTGACCAACATGGTGAAACCCCATTTCTACTAAAAATACAAAAATTACCCAGGCGTGGCTTGTGCCTGTAATCCCAGCTACTCATGAGGCTGAGGCAGAAGAATCGCTTGAACTTGGGAGGGGTAGGTTGCAGTGGGCGGAGATCACACTACTGCACTCCAGCCCTGGCAACAGAGTGAGACTCTCTCAAAAAAAAAAAAAAAAGAAAAAAAAAAGAAAAAAAAAATGATGTGAAGGTGAAACTATCTGAAGGAATGAAAAAAGAATAGGAAAAAATAACATTTGTTAAATAATATCTAGCATGCTAGATTCTCTCCTTGGTGCTTTCATGTGTGTTTTAACTTTCACAATGTAGTGAAGTTAGCAAAATTACTGCTATTTGTTTGCAGGAGGAAATTTGTATTTATAAAGCATCAGTAACTAACCCTGGGTCATACAACTAACTACATGACCCATTCGAAGCAAGGTTTGCCTGACTTTTGAAGCCTAAGATACTTCCACTCTCAACAATAAAACTGAAAGAAATTTTAGTGTTAACAGCTCTTTCAGAATTTACCTCGTTATGTTTCACTGGAAAACCTCCAACCCTCAAAAAACAAATTGTATTTGCTTTGGAGAAGTATATGATCTTTTCCCAAAAAAACAAATCCCCACACCCTGTATCTTGTACCAATACAGATTTTTCTTTGTTCTTTTTTTTTTTTTTTTTTTTTTTTTTTTTGAGACAGACTCTCGCTCTTTTACCAGGCTGGAGTGCAGAGGCTCAATCTCAGCTCACTATAACTTCTGCCTCCCAGGTTCAAGTGATTCTCCTGCCTCAGCCTCCCAAGTAGCTGGGACCACAGGTGTGTGTCACATGTAGCTAATTTTTGTATTTTTGTAGAGACAGAGTTTCACCATGTCAGCCAGGATGGTCTCACTCTCGTGATCTGCCCGCCTCAGCCTCCCAAAGTGCTGGGATTACAGACATGAGCCACGGTGCCCGGCCTCTTTGTTCTTTTTTAATTTTTTTTGTTTTGTTTTATTTTTTTAGTGACAAAGCCTTACTCTGTCACCCAAGCTGAGTGCCGTGGCATGATCGCAGCTCACTGCAGCCTTGAATTTAGCAATCCTCTTGCATCAGCCTCCCAAGTAGCTAGGACTACAGGCCCATGCCACCACACCGCTACTTTTAAATTTTTTTTGTAGAGACAGGGTCTTGCTATGTTTTCCAGACTGGTTTCAAACTCTTGGTCTCAAGCAATCCTCCCACCAGAGCCTCCCGAAGTGTTAGAATTACAGGTATGTGACCAGGCGCAGTGGCTCATGCCTATAATCCCAGCACTTTGGGAGGCTGAGGCGGGCGGATCACCTGAAGTCAGGAGTTTGATACCAGCTCAACCAACATGAAGAAACCCCGTCTCTACTAAAAATACAAAAAATTAACCAGCCATGGTGGCATGTGCCTATAATCCCAGCTACTCCAGAGGCTGAAGCAGAATTGCTTGAACCTGGGAGGCAGAGGTTGCAGTGAGCAGAGATCACGAATTGCACTCCAGGCTGAGCAACAAGAGTGAAACTCTGTCTCAGGAAAAAAAAAAAAGAATTACAGGTGTGAGCCACTGTGCTCAGCACAAATCCAGATTTTTCTTCATCGTGTTTAATTTTAATGGGGGTAGAGTGGGAAATGAGGGCTAATATCTACCTATAAATTAAATTAGAAGAAAAATTATTAACAGGCTTAAATCCTATGGATATGTACACTAGGCAGCAGTTGATCATTGGGATTGGAGAAAGGCTAATTTACAAACAGTATAGCAAAACTATTATTATGATTTTAAAGGCAGAAGTACCATTTTGAAAACGAATTTGTTGGATGTGAATTTACCTTCAACATTTTTCCTCTTAAATATTACTTTGGTTTTGGAAATTGACTTTGTAATTTTTTTTTTTTTTTTGAGACAGAGTCTCACTCTGTCACCCAGACTGGAGTGCAATGATGTGATCTAGGCTCATTGCAACCTCTGCCTCCCGAGTTCAAGCGATTCTCCAGTCTTAGCCTCCCGAGTACAAGCACACGCCATCATGCCTGGCTAATTCTGACCCCTTTTTAATTATAAAATGCCAATGTTGGAAGCCTCTAGAGATCACCAAATCCAACTGTTTAAAAATTCTTCTTGGCCCTCATAATCCTTTCTTTAGATAAACTTGGAAACCCAATATGTAAACACACAAAAGCAGAGCTTCGCTGACTGACAGATAATAAATGGGATCTAAATGGTACGAAGGATGACAGAAACATCCTCATTTTACAGATGGAGAAACTTTCCAGGTTTGTGCTTTCCTTCCCCCCTCAAACCTTACTACTTTATTGTAATTACTCCTGCACTTGTCCAGCAGTAGTGCAAGCAGTTTGCCAACTACTCTTGCACGAACAACTAGCAGTTTACCACGAAGTCCCTATATTCAATTTGGGGACTCTCATGCCTCACAGAGCGCTAAGGCGTTGCTGGCCCCTTGGTGATCAGAAGCTTCGTGCAATCCAAGAGCGTGCCAAGACGCTTGACGGCTGACCTTCCTTCTCAGGACTTTAGCAACTCTGCGGCCAGTCCAGCCTGGGAACCGCAGAGCTGGAGCCCGACTCTCCGGAGACCCGGGATCCGCCGCAGAGCAAAGCGCACGGGAGGGCAGGGGGACAGAGGAGGGCACGTGGCTCTGGTGTTTGACCTCCGGCTCGCCCTATCGATCTAGGGCCCGCGCCGGGTCCCCACGTCCCAGCAACCCGCGGAGAGGCAGGGGAGCCGGGACCGCTCACCACGCTCTGGCCCTCGAGCCGCGCCCGGACTCCGCAGCCCGGCCCCCCTTACCGGCGTCAGAGCTTGCGGCGGTGAAGGCCGCGGCGGGCCCGCGCGTGAGCCAGGTCGCCGCCCCGAGGAACAGCCAGGCGACTGCCCGAACCGCCACCACCCAAGCCGCCAGGACGCCGGAGGCCGGACGCCCGAGAGGGGCGCGCGGAGCCACCCGGGGACGCAGGAAAGGGCGTGCACTGGCCGCCCGCCGCTCCTACAGCGAGCTACCGCGGATTTCGCCGCCGGGACCCAGTGCTGGGTGCGCGCGCCTAGCTCCCGCGGATCTTCGCTGCCTGCAGCCCCGGCCCCCAAACGTTCCCGCGCGGCGTGAGGCGTCCGTTCCCGCCTCTCCGTTCCCCTCTCCGCCCTCCCAGGGGCGGGCGAGGAGCTGCGCACGCGCGGGGACGCGCGCCCGGCCTGTTGCTGTGGAAACCGCTCGGCCAGCGCCTGGCGGGACCTCGGATCCACGCACGCAGCGGTGGGAGCCGGGGGACCGCGGCCCCGGCCGGCCCCACTCCGCTTCCCGGTATTTCCGGGTTCGGGCCTCCAGTGGGGGAGTTCACCCCTCGGGCTCGTCTGGAGGGCTGTGGCTGTCGCCTCTTCCTGCAGCGCCAGGCTCCGCCCGTCCTCAAAGTCGGCTTAGGTGCTTTCGGTGCACTGCAGTTGGGTGGAAAAATACCCACTCCTGGCTGTTTAGACGCTGGCCTGCAGAAGATGTCATTTCTGTATGTCTCTAAGGGTAAGAAAGCCAGCCTTGCACTAGTGGAGACGTGAGTAGAGAGAATCGTCTACCCTTTGGGGACATCCGTACGACTTAGGTGCTGTGGGGCTTCCTAACAAAATTGTGGGCGGTTACTGATCTTTGGGGAGAAGAGTATTCAGGAAGAATAATCCGGTAAACGTGCCGTCCTCCTTCCTAAACAGAGTGGAATCTGTAAGCAGGCCTAGAGAGCATCCAGGTGGCTTGGAGTGGAACAGAGCGCTCTAGGACGGGTGTCGCAAAGAGGAAAGAGAGTGTAAGTCAAAAGATAACGATCTAAAACTGGAAGTAGCCGGGCAAGGTGGCTCACGCCTGTGGGCCCAGCACTTTGGCCAGATCACCTGAGGTCAGGTGTTCGAGACCAGCCTGAACAACATGGCGAAACCCCGTCTCTACTAAAGATAACAAAAATTAGCCAGGCGTGGTGGCAGGCATCTGTAATCTCAGCTACTTAGAAGGCTGAGGCACGAAAATCGCTTGAACCTGGGAGGAGGAGACTGCAGTGAGCCGAGATCGCGCCGCTGCACTCCACCTGGGCGACAGAGCAACACTCCATCTCAAAACAAAAACAAAAACACTGAAAATGGTAGTGTAAGCATGTTTTTTAAGAAATGGAGAGGTAAATTTTGGAAGACATGCCTTTTAAAATTCAGTCTGGCTCCCTATGAAAAGGATAGGGCAAACTGTAGTTTTTTGTTATAAGCCTTATAGAATTATTTTATATTCCAAATGCAAACATTATTTTAGCAAAGATTAAAGTTAAATTTTAAAAAGAAAAGAGTCTAGTAAAACTACATTATTTGAATACCAGTTGTGTACATCTTTGACGAGGACAATCAGTTGCTTCAGTGTGTAGAGTTTATATTGTGCTCAGTAGGTTCTAGTTTACTAACATCAAATTTTAGGTGAATTGGGAGTAGTATTCATTCAAAAAACAAGAAAAGGAAAAGAAGGAGAAAATGGTGTGAGATCATTGCGTCAGATTAGAACTAGAGCACAGTAATTTTTTAAAATAGGTTTTTGTGACTGGGCACAGGGACTCACGTGTTTGTAATCTCACCTACTCGGGAGGCTGAGGCAAGGAGAATCGCTTGAACCTGGGAGGTAGAGGTTGCAGTGAATTGAGATCCCACCACTGCACTCAGCCTGGCGACAGAGCAAGACTCCGTCTCACCCCGCCCCCCCCACCCCAAAAAAAAAGAAGAAAGAAAAAAGACACAATCAAGGGTGAGTATTTTCTGTTTCCCCTCTCCTTTGCCCCATTATTCTACAATGAATGTGTATAATCACTGCTAAGTGTTTTATTAAAAGTATGTTCCTTAGATATAGACACTAGGTTTTTGAGTGGAAAAAAAAAAAAAAAAGCATGTTCCTAATAGTGATTCTCCCAACAGAACTGAGTTCATGGAGATATCATCACCCTATGCCACTTTACCTCAATGTTTCTTGACATTGATGAATCTTTCTGAGAATGTCATAGTCACATCTAAAGCAGTGATTATTTTTAAGTGGATTTGGGCATTGAGGGTGGGGAAAAGAAGAGAGAATAGTAAGTTTTAATCTACAAATAGCTATATTTCTGGTAGCTAGAAAAATATCATATAGTGTGACAAATAAGCCAAAATAAAAGCCATGGAAACATTCCTGACTTGTATATGAAGAAGCTGATTCTGCATCAGGTCTGCTTTTTGATCAGGCTTCTAGACTTTAAGTGTTTACAAAAGTGTTCAGGGACCATCATGTTAATTCATAGCATTAAACAATGCTGAGATATTGTGGTGAAAAATGAATATGCCCCCCACCCTCATGTACCATATTGACTAGAAGGGAAGATAGATGATTAAATAAGTAATAAAGAAAAACTCTTGGAAAATAATTAGGAAAGTACAAAGGAGACAGCTCTGGACTGGTGAACCCCTCAGGACAAAATGATTAAGGTTAAAAAGCTCATAATACCTTGATACAGAGGATGCTTGATACATCCTTTCTTAATTGATAAATAGAATGTAGGTAAGCTATTGGGCTGACTTAGGGATTCATATTCAATCTTTGACTAAGAGATTCAAACTGGATTGCATCCCCAGATTCACATATGAACAAGTCTATATTCTTGAGGGAACCAGAGTCTTAGGAGTCCCAACAGACTGAAACTAACCCAGGGCCAAACTGAACTTTCCCAGCAGCTCTCAAAGTAACTGAGCTTTGTGCTCGCTTCAGTGCACAAACACCAAAATTGGAATGATACAGAGTATTAGCATGGCCTGTGAGCAAGGATGGCACAAAAATTCAGGAAGCATTCCATATTTTAATTGAAAAAAGAAAAAGAAGTCCGGGCGTGGTGGCTCATGCCTATAATCCCAGCTACTCAGGAGGCTGAGGCAGGAGAATCACTCCCAGGAGGTGAAGGTTGTGGTAAACAGAGATTGCACCATTGTACTCCAGCCTGGGTGACAGAGTGAAACTCCATCCCAAAAAAAAGAAAAGAAAAGAATATTAAGCTTCACAGGCTGAGCATGTGTTGCCAGAACTGGACTAAAACCAGATCGGGTGAGGGAAATGAGTGACATTTATCCAACACCTAGTTGTTTTTTCTCTTTAGCAGGAAGTCATTATGCAACTTACACATTGTCATCAGATTTCCTCTGATTTACCCTGACGTGTATGTGGGAATGATGTGCACTGCCAAGAAATGTGGGATTAGATTTCAGCCTCCAGCTATTATCTTAATCTATGAGAATGAAATCAAGGGGAAAATTCGCCAGCGCATTATGCCAGTTCGAAACTTTTCAAAGTTTTCAGGTACCTCATGTCTTATCTTGCCTCCTGTCTTAAATATTCTCTAAATACAGGTTTGGGACTGGATGTGTGACACTGGATTAATTACTTACTGTCAATGAGCTTCGGTTTCCTAATCTATAAAAAGGAATTGGTTTTTTTCCCCTCAGTTTGAGAATTAATAATCCTTTTGGGATTACTAGCTGGGTTAAATGATACAGCATTATTCAATAATTTCAATTCCCTTCTCTCCTTCCAAATGTTTTTTATTTGTAGTCTTAGTATTTTATTAATACCACTACTGCTCTCTAAAATCTATAATATCACTTTTCTTCTCAGACATATTCTCCAGCTGAAAGTGTTTAATACCTCCACAAAGTGATTTGTGAATTAAAGAAGTCAAAAATGTATCTCTCTTCCCACCACACTGAAAGCTCAATATAAAGGAATAGTTTTACAAAATAATTCATTCCAATAAAACCATTTAGCTGCTTGACTATAATGGAGATAACGCTTTCAGGGTTCCGAGTGTTGGGTTCTATTTTGGCTGTTGCAGTAGTTTGTGGTGTATATAATGTATGCAGTATGTATGTGGTATATAGTTTTCTTCTCTCTCCCAGATTGCACCAGGGCTGCTGAACAATTAAAGAATAATCCACGACACAAGAGTTACCTGGAACAAGTATCCCTGAGGCAGCTAGAGAAGCTATTCAGTTTTTTACGAGGTTACTTGTCCGGGCAGAGCTTGGCAGAAACAATGGAACAGATTCGTCGGGAAACCACCATTGATCCTGAGGAAGATCTGAACAAACTAGATGACAAGGAGCTTGCCAAAAGGAAGAGCATCATGGATGAACTGTTTGAGAAAAATCAGAAGAAGAAGGATGATCCAAATTTTGTTTATGACATTGAAGTTGAATTCCCACAGGATGAACAACTGCAGTCCTGTGGCTGGGACACAGAGTCAGCTGATGAGTTCTGATACCAAACACTCAAAAAATGTATTGGGCTAGCAGAATACCTATATTTATACCAGACTGGTTCTGGAAAAAGCTTTAAAGAATACTAAATATATGTGTTGGGTTGTAGGGGATTGACCATGCTACTTTTCAAAACTAAGACAATTAAAGCATCTGCTATGTAGGTGCATGAGGAATATGGGAAAAACAGAATAAAGGAATCTGTCTTTAAGGAGCTTGCAATTGTACTGGGCACAGTGGCTCACGCCTTAATCCCAGCACTTTGGGAGGCTGAGGCAGGCAGATCACCTAAGGTCAGGAGTTTGAGACCAGCCTGGCCAGCGTGATGAAACCCTGTCTCTACTAAAAATACAAAAATTAGCCAGGCATGGTGGTGGGCACCTGTTACCCAGCTACTAACGAGACAAGCAGGAGGATCACTTGAACCCTGGAGGCGGAGGTTGTAGTGAGCCAAGATAGTGCCACTGTACTCCAGCCTGGGCAACAAGAGCAAAATTCCATCCCAAAAAAAAAAAAAAAAAAAGGCTTACAGTCAATCTACTGGAAGATGTAAAAAACGTGAAAAGCTAATTGGCAGTATTAAACAACAAAAAGATTAGAGCCAAATGCATGATAAAGGCTAAAGAAGTTCAGAGCCTATATTAATGTAGAGTAGAATAGTAAGAGAAGACTTTGTCCTTTAGTAAAGAGGTAGGAGTTGGCCTGGCCCTTGAAATGGTAGTATTTAGGTAGCCGCTTGTGTAGGATTCCAGATAAGAGCAACTGAAGAAGGAAAGGAGAGCTAGTAAAGGGAGAAGAAGCAGAATTTTATTTTTGAGGAATAAGCAAATTATAGTTTGACAAGATTGGGGGCCATATATGGTTACCAGGAAATTATCTTGTATGTTATGTCTTTGTATGTATTTAACTCTGGAAAAGAGTACCCCTGCAAAATGCCCTGCAGCTGCAAGTAGATGTCATTTGATGGACAAAAGGGGATTCTGCCCCTCTGGCATCAGGAAATGTATACTAAAGACATTGTGAAATGCCGAACCTCTTCCCATAAATAAAGGTTTGTTTGTAAAATGGGAAATCCACCCATAATAAATGAACAATAGGCACTGCCAGTTTAGGCCTATTTGTGACTGGATCTGCAAGAGCGCATCTTCATTTAGCAACATTATCTGTGATTTGATACATTTATTCTTATTAGAATATTGTTTAATTGGTAGAAATTCTATGTTTTCTACAAGGAAACTGATGCTTATTAAATAAAACTGTAGTGAAAATAATTACTGTTTCTACCTGTTCACCTCTACTCTCCTTATCATTAAGCACTTCATTGTAAGGGAGCTAATTCTTGTAGTGACATCACCAGAGTTTTGAGATAGTACAGTTGCCAAAGAGAGTCAAATAATTTTCTCAATTAGAGATCTTTTCATATCTACATAGTATTTCTTTATTCTATTGTCCTTATTTTTAATTTGAGACAGGGTCTCACTCTGTCACCCAGGCTGGAGTACAGTGGCATGATCACGGCTCACCCCAGCCTCAACCTCCTGGGCTCAAGTGATCCTCCCACTTCAGCCTCCTAAGTAGCTGGGATTACAGGTGCCCACCACCACACCTGGCTAATTTTTGTATTCTTTATAGAGACGAGGTTTCAGCATGTTTCCCGGGCTGGTCTCAAACTCCTGGGCTCAAGCAATTCGCCTGCCTCAACCTCCCAAAGTGCTAGGATTACAGACATCAGCCACCATGCCTGGCTATAGGTAACTTATTTTAAAATTTATCCAGCCAGGTACAGTGACTCACACTTGTAATCCTAGCATTTTGGGAGGCTGAGGTGGGCAGATCACAAGGTCAGGAGATTGAGACCATCCTGGCTAACACGGTGAAACCCCATCTCTACTAAAAATATAAAAAGTTAGCTGTGCATGGTGGTGCCTGTAGTCCCAGCTACTCAGGAGGCTGAGGCAGGAGAATCACTTGAAACTGGGGGGCAAGGTTGCAGTGAGCCAAGATCACACTATTGCACTCCAGCCTGGACAACAGAGTGAGACTCTGTCTCAAAAAAGAAAAAAATGTCCTTAGGTTGTTTTCTTCTTTCATTACTATAAACAGTGCTACAACAAATAACCTTTACATTCTCTGTTTCACACATGTACAAGGATATCTGTTAGATAAATGCCTAAAGGAGGCTTATTAAGTATGTGCATTCTAAGTTTTAATAGATATTAAGTTGTCCTCAATAGACGTTCATTCATTATTTGTACTTAATGAGCACCTACTGCGTTCTAAGCCTGTAATGTTCTGGAGTTTGGGGTTACAGCAGTATATACAACAAAGTCCTAGGTTTACAATTGGAAAGCAGAGACAGTAAACATAAATGCGTAGAATAATGTCATCAGATGGTAAGTGCTCAAAAGAAAAAAATGGGGTGAAAAGGAGAATTATAGAGGGGATGGGAGCTGCTGTTTTAGATGGGTGATCAGAGAATGCTGCACTGACATTTGAGCAAAGGCCTGAGGAGATAAGGAAAAATTGGTATGCATTTCAGGGTTAGCGGGGAAAGGCAAGTGCATTAGCCTTGCAGCTAGAGTGTGCCTTGTATGTTTGAGGAGGAGCAGGAGGCCAGTGTGGCTAACACACATTGTGCAAGAGAAGAAATGGTAGATTAGGTTGGAGTGTATTTTACCAATGCATAGTACTTACCATGAAGGTTGTACCAACTTAAACTATCAGCAGTACATTTAATACCCATCCCCAAATACTCATCAATGGAGAATGTTAATCAAACTTTTTGAGTTTTGCCAATTTTTCAATATAAAAGTGGTATCTTATAGTTTTGATTTGCATTTCCCTTATTTTGAGGGGGATGTGTATCATACATTTAAGAGCTTTTTTTTTTTTTTTTTTTTTAGACGGATTTTCACTCTGTAGCCCTGGCTGCAGAACAGTGGCATGATCTTGGCTCACTGCAACCTCCGCCTCCTGGGTTCAAGCGATTCTCCTCCTTTAGCCTCCCAAGTAGCTGGGACTATAGGCAAGTGCCACCATGCCCAGCTAATTTTTGTATTTTTAGTAGAGATGGGGTTTCACCACGTTGGCCAGGATGGTCTTGACCTCGTGATCCACCTGCCTCGACCTCCCAAAGTGCTGGGATTATTGGCATAAGCCACCATACCTGGCCAAGAGCCATTTTTAATGAAATAAGTCCTTTGTTCATTTTTCTATTGGGTTGCTGGTCTTTTTCTTACAGATGTATATAAGTTGTTTATTAAGGAAATTAGTCCTTAGTCTATGATATAAGTTGCAAATATTTCCACCTTGTCATTTAAAAAAATCGAATATTTTTCAGGTAGATTTTTTAATGTGGTAAAATTGATGAATATTTTTCTCTACACTTCTGCACCTTTGGTCAAATATAGAAAGCCATTCCTTACAAGATTTTTCTTTTTTTTCTTTTTTCTTTTTTGAGATGGAGTCTCACCCTGTCACTGAGACTGGAGTGTAGTGATGTGATCTTGGGTCACTGCAACCTCTGCCTCCCGGGTTCAAGTGATTCTCCTGCCTCAGCCTCTTCAGTAGCTGGGACTACAGGCGCCCGCCACCATGTCTGGCTAATTTTTACATTTTTAGTAGAGACGGAGTTTTGCCATGTTGGCCAGGCTGGTCTCAAACTCCTGACCTCAGGTAATCCACCTGCCTTGGCCTCCCAAAGGGCAGCCACTGAGCCTTGCCAAGATTATTTTTTAAGTGTCTCTTTTTCTATATACAAATTTATTTTGGAATACGATGTGAGATGTGAATCCAACTTTTTTGTCCAGGTGCCAATTCAATTGTCCCAACACCACTATCTATTGAATAACTTATCTTTTCCCCATTTGATTTAAAATGTCATTTTTATCATACACTAAATTCCCATATGTATCAAAGTAGTTATTTTTTGATGATGTTAATATCATCTGTAGCAGTCTTCCCAATTCATGTTTTTTTCTTTTCTTTTTTTACAAGACTGAGTCTTACTTTGTCACCCAGGCTGGAGTGCAGTGGCGTGATTGTGGCTCATTGCAACCTCTCTCTCTCTGGTTCATGCAATTCTCCTGCCTCAGCTTCCCAAGTAGCTGAGATTACAGGCACATGCTCCAACTCCCAGCTAATTTTGTGCATTTTTAGTAGAGACAGAGTTTCACCATGTTGGCCAGGCTGGTCTCGAACTCCTGACCTCAGGTGATCTGCCCGGCTTGGCCTCCTAAAGTGCTAGAAATACAGTTATGAACCACCACTCCCAGCCCAAATTAATGTTTTTTGATGTTTATTGAGCACATCCCATTAGTCTGCTAGGTTAGGAGCAAAAGAAAGCTACAAAATCATCTTAACTTTGGCCTTTGAGGTGTTACATAGCTTAGCCAAAACAGAATGGGGAGATCATATGAATGAGTTGAGTTTTGTTTTTGCTGGAGTGCAGTGGCAAGATCACAGCTCATTGTAGCCTTGACCTCCCAGGCTCTAGTGATCCTCCCACCTCAGCCTTCTAAGTAGCTTCGATAACAGGTGTGCATTACCATACCCAGCTAATATTTTTTATTATATTTGTTGAAATAGGGGCTCTCTGTGTTGTCCAGGCTGGTCTTAAGCCCCAGGGCTCAAATAATCCTCCCACCTCAGCCTCCCAAAGTGCCAGGATTGTAGATGGAAGCCACCATGTGTGGGCTCCTCCATGTATCTTGCCCTTTTCAAAGTTAAGCTGAGCTCTTTTTACTTTTTTCATTATAAAATTAATACATACTTATTATTTTAAAAATTTAAACAAATACCAGAATGTAAAAGTAAAATGAGAAAATTCCCCTTTTCCCTTCTTCCCCCAATTCCTGTACTACCTAGAAATTCCACCTGTAGGAATCTGCCAAAGAGAAATGGAAACATACGTCCACACACAGACTTGCATGTGACTGTTCATAACAGTATTATTTATAATAGCAAAGAAGGCAAAGAATGAAAACAATACAAATGTCCATTGATTGGTGAATGGAGAAACAAAATGTTGGATAGCCATATAATAGAATATTATTCAGCAGTAATAAGAAACTGGCAGGGTGCGGTGACTCATGCCTGTAATCCCAACACTTTGGGAGGGCAAGACGGGTGGATCACCTGAGGTCAGGAGTTCAAGACCAGCCTGACCAACATGGCAAAACTCTGTCTCTACCAAAAAAATACAAAAATTAGTCAGGCATGGTGGTGTGCATTTGTAGCTTCAGCTACTCGGGAGGCTGAGGCAGGAGAATGGCTTGAATGGGGAGGCAGAGGTTGCAGTGAGCCAAGATCGTGCCACTGCACTCCACACTCCAGCCTGGGCAACAGATTGAGACTCTGTCTCAAAAGAAAAGAAAAGAAAAAATAGTGACTCTCTGACTCCATCTCAAAAAAAAAAAAAAAAAAAAAGAAAAATGAACTAGCAATACAGGGTGATTCTCAAAAACGCTATGCTAAGTGAAAGAAGCCAGACAGGGCTGGGTGTGGTGGCTCACGCCTGTAATCCCAGCACTTTAGGAGGCCGAGGCCAGTGGATCACAAGGTCAGGAGATGGAGACCATCCTGGTCAACATGGTGAAATCCTGTCTCTACTAAAAATACAAAAATTAGCTGGGTGTGGTGGTGCACATCTGTAATCCCAGCTACTCAGAAGGATGAAGCAGGAGAATTGCTTGAACTCAGGAGGCAGAGGTTGCAGTGAGCCGAGATCACACCATTGCACTCCAGCCTGGGCAACAGAGGGAGACTCCATCTCAAAAAAAAAGAAAAAAAAAGAAAAAAAGAACGAAAGAAAAGCTGGGCACGCTGGGAGGCCGACATAATCAGGAGATAGAGACCATCCTGGCCAATATGGTGAAACCCCGTCTTAAAAAATTAAAAAATAAAAAAGAAAGAAGCCAGGCAGAAAAGACTATATTATATGGTCCATTTATATGAAATGTTTTTTAAAGGCAACTCTATAGAGACAGAAGGCAGATTATGGCTGCCTGGGGCTAAGGAATGGGAATTGACTGCAAGTGGACATGGGAGATGATATTTGGGGGGTTGATGAAAACACTTTAAAACTGAATTGTGTCTTGTTTTCACAATTGTATAAATTCACTGTAAGTAATTGATTTGTGCACTTAGAAACAGGTAAATGTTATGGCATATATTGAGCTATGTAAATTATGTCTCGATAAAGCTGTCAAAAAAAAATAGGAAACAAGCATCTGCAGACCATTGTTTTAAGATTGAGCAAAGAGGACCAAAGATACA